GGCTTTATGGATAAGTATTTTATCATGCAAATACAGAAATTAAGAACGTTTTCTATTTCAACCCAGAAAATAAGAACTGCCCTTCCGAACAGAAAAAGAAAGCTGGCACGTTCACCCATTCACTTGAGCGCAGTAAGCCAAGCTCACACCAGCTATCAAACCCTGGGTGAAAAAGCAAGCAGGCATTCTTGTCTAAGAGCCAGAAGGCAGAGCCCACTGCGGAAGTGAAAGACGGGGAGGAGATCTGGAATTCCAGGGCCAGGAACCTTTCAGAAAAAGACTGCCTTTGGTCTTCTTTTCTCATCTGTTCTCTGAGGCTTCAGTACACCTTCCCACATCATCCCTCCCGCCTCTCCCTCAACTCATCTGTGGGTAAAAGGGATGTGCCCTTGGGCACTTCCATGTGACACCTTTACCCCATTGCTTATGTCTGCCACTAGCTAAAGAAGCTTAGAAACTTTATTCTCCACTTACATGTAGTTTTAAAACTACATGTTTTAAAAAGTTTTTAAAGTTTTCAATGTGTTCTAAAAATTTTAAATATGTTCTAAAATAACATCCAGCTGGGAATCTCAAAAATGTCCAGTGACTCCGGCACGGCAGATTCCTTTATCCTGCGCCACCCCGAAGTTTTAGTCTTCTCCAGCCAACACGTAACACAGCCAAAAGTTGTTACAGACACATTCAGCCCTTTCCCTTTCAGATCCCTAAACCACAGTGACAGCTATCTGGCCACTTGCCTGGGCACCCTCATTTTCCCACTGCCCCAGATTCATACTCTGATAATAGGGGAAAAAAGAGTTAAATGAAGAGATGGCAAGTGGAGACAGTGCTGAAGGGTGATGGGGGGGAGAGGTGGCAATTGGATCTCTTATCATTCCAGCAGACTTTACGAAAGCCACCATAAATAAACATGCAATATGAGTAAAAACTGTTTATTTTGCAATTGTAGCTTCAAATTTCTTAGCATTCCAATCCTCCATCCCTTCATCCAGGTCCTTGTACAGTGCCCCACCTAAATCCCTTCCTGTACCAATTCTGGAGCCCCCATTCTTGACAAGAGCAGCTGTACCCATTCACCCTCTGGGTGCCTGGCACTAGCTGTAAAGGCAGGTTATTTCAGTGCGCCGGGACTTGGAAGGACGATCAGTGGGTGAGAAGCTGTCCCCTGCCGTCCATCGCCAGCTGGCAGTGGGAAGAAGTTCAACCTCTCAGGCCGTGTAATGATAGATGTGTGCTCACCACTCAAATTGTACCCGGCCCAAACAAATGGCTCAAGCTCTCCCAGCAAGTGATGGATGCTGCTTCCCTGACACTGCAAGGAAACTGCTCAAATTAGCCATCGCCTGTTTAACAGGGCTACTAACTTCAAGCAAAGGCCTTGCCTGAAGTAATGCTATCAGAACCAACCATCTGTGTCCTGCCTTTCATAATTCCATGTTGGACAAGATTCCTGGATCAAATACATTTGAAACGCTGCAGAGCAACAGCTGAAAGTACCAGATGACGCAAGGAAGGAAAATTTTACTTTTCCCTGGCTCCCCATGGGCACACCTCTAGCCGCAAGTCCCCAGAGTCACTGCTTCCCACCAGCTTCCATGACACTGAAGGGAAGCTGTCTTTTCTACTGTTTCTTACATAGCAAACAGTAATTGAACTGGGCATTGAATGCTTTGCTGATGAAGCTCCTCCTGATAAAAGGCAAGAGGCAGGGCCATAACTGGGCCAATCTGGATGCATTAAGAAGACAGGCAGATTTGCAGCAACATGGATGGACCTAGAGATGATCACACTAAGTGAAGTAAGACAGAGAAAGACAAATACCATATGTATCACTTATATGTGGAATCTAAAAACTAATAATACAAATGAACTTATTTACAAACAGAAACAGATCCACAGACACAGAAAACAAACTTATGGTTACCAAAGGGGAGGAGGGGAGAGGGATAAATTAGGAGTTTGGGATTAGCAGATACAAACTACTATATATAAAACAGATAAATAACAAAGTCCAACTATATAGCACAGGGAACTATACTCAATAGCTTGTAATAACCTATAAAGAAAAAGAATATATGTATTTCTACAACTGAATTACAATGCTGTACACCAGAAACACAATATTGTAAATCAACTAAACTTCAATTAAAAAAAAAAGGGGGGCAGGATTTAAAGCTTGCAGGAGACACACATATGAAGCACAGTCAACTCTGCAAGCTAGACCTACCCAGGAAAGCATTTGGAAGAAAGAGCTCAAATTTCTGGTGTCCTTCGAAGATGAAGAAATGTTACGCTCACACGCATTTTATAAGACAATGAACGGTGAAGAACCATATATTGTAATAAAAATTGCAGCAGCAAGAAGGGAACTTGAGCCTTAATCAGAATTGCTTTGCTTAACAAGCAAAGTACAATTGTGTGTGACCTGTAAAAATAAACATTTTTTTTAATGGAAGAAAAAGCCACAAAAAGACAGACTCTGGTCAAGCACAATGTGGATGAGCCCTGTTGGGGTATACTCAATGATATTTAGATGAAGAGCTGTGTATGATAGTAATAACCAGATATAAGGAAAGCTTGATGCCAAGCAAGCCAGAAAGGGAGGTGGTACAGCCCACGTTCATGTGTGTGCAGTATCTGCTCTGAAAGGAGTTGTCCCATATAAACTGACAAAGCTACCAATCTCTCTCATACAATCTATTCATGTCTCAGATCCAAATGAGAGACAGTCACCATCACCACTACCACATTTTTTCATTCTGAAAAAAAAAAATAGTGAAAAGTTGGTTAAGAACATTTGATTACTGTAATTCACACCCATCTATAGTCAGGCTCTTAGCAAGACCAGTGAGTACAGAAATGGTCCTTTAATGCCCTGCAGTGTCTCTTACTCATCTAATAGGAAACAGGCTTCGGCAAATATAAGAAATGCCATAGCTTAGTTTGCAATATGCTTTTGTTCTGTTTTTCAAATATCCTTCTGTCATTTTTAAGAGCCATTATGGGTTTACTTGGTTTTAATGCAGCCTACAAGTAAAATTGTTTTTGAAGTAAAGCTGGGTCAATGAAATCAGCATTAGGGAAGTGTGAATGAGAATGTGAACAGAGGGAAAAGGAAGGCTTAAGAAGAAGAGAACTGTGGGGGAAGTCTATACTAAGAAAACCAGAAAAGTTTAGATGACAGCCTGTCTTCACTGATCTGTACACATCAGCCCTAACATTTGATATCCAAAGTGTCAATGGCTAATGGTTACCATTCCCGTAAAGTCTAGAACTCTGCTCTGTAATGAACTTTCTGCAGTGATGGAAATGTTCTATTCTGTGCTGTCCAAACTTGATAACCACTAGCCACATGCAGCTACAGACTACTTAAAATATGATTAGTGCAACCAAAGGAATGAATCTCTAATTTTAATTTTAATTCAATGTAAACAGTCACATGTAGGCTTATCTGGATGACAGGACTATGATTAATTTCAAGGGCTTATTTAGAAACATCACTTCATTTCTGTTTGATAGATTTTGTCCACATGAATTAAGTAACATTCCCTGGCAGACATAGCTCTGGCTCGCAAGTATTTCATGGTTTGCCTAAAATGAACAATTTCTAAACCACGATGCATCCCTTTTATTCCTTTTCCCCAAAACGCTTCAAGCTTATTTGTACCACTTCCCTGATATTCCTTAAGCTGACCTTTGGGAACCCAGATGTGGAGTGGTAAGAACTGGTCTGTAACATCTTTGACTGCTTTGCTTACAAAGCAAAGCACATATATGTAAAAACATTCATTTGTAAACAAAGCATGTATATGTGTGTGTGTATTGGTATAGGCACATATACACACACATACATATTCACACATACACATTTACACACACATGCACGCCACTGAGCTTCCAATCACCAAGTCCTTTATCATGAATTCTATCCATCTACCTAGTTCTACTCAAAGTCATGTAATTATGGTGGTCAGAAAGAACTGGATTGGAATTCTAGCTCTTCTGCTCTTTACATAGGCACTGCTGAGCAAATTACTTAGACCTTCTGGGCCTCAGTTTTATAAGTTGAAAGGATTAGATGGTACCCTGGCTATGATAGCAAGCAGAAGAGTGTGGACCAGATTTAAAGGGAGCAGGACCTGAAGGTTCAAAGCAGATTTAAGGGCAAGATACTCACCGAAAAAAAAAAAAAAAAAAGAAACAACAGAAAAGAGATATATCACAGTGTTAATACATTAATACAACGGGAAAAGAACTCACTCCAAAAAGACATTTCTGTGCCTGATAAAAACTGAATGAAAGGCCTTTCTCTGCTCTTTGGAAATGGTTCAACTCAGGCTACCTGTGTAAAACCACAATAGTTTATATTGTCTATAACTGTGGCTAATCTGTTACCTGTTTATCTTTATTTTTTATTTTTTAATATATTTTTATTGACGTATAGTCAGTTTACAATGTTGTGTCAATTTCTGGGTACAGCACAATGCTTCAGTCATACAGGAACACACATATATTCATTTTCATATTCTTCTTCACCATAAGTTACTACAAGATATTGAATATGGCTCCCTGTGCTGTACAGTATAAACTTGTTGTTTATCCATTTTACCTATATTAGTTAGTATCTGCAAATCTTGAACTCCCAATTTATGCCTTCCCACCCGCTTCCCCCATTTATCTTTAAAGTAATTAAAGATCCCAAGACCACCCACTATTCAGCCTCCAAAGCTCACTCTTGGTAAATTTGATTTCTAGTACCTTCTCCTATTCTAGAGATTCTTCAACAGAGAGAGCATTTATACACAGAACCCAAGTAAATAACAGCTTTAACCGTTTGTATAAAGAATCCAAAGATGTGTAGCCGTAAAATACTCCTCTAAAAAGTTAACGACTGTATTTTGTTTCGAGACCCCCAGGGAGGGAGGTACATAAAGAGTCAAGGTCCTAGGAAATCACGTCCACAGGAAAGAGGGAAGGACCAGGGCGCTCACCCATACCTCAGCTTCCTGCAGGGTCCCGTGGTTTAGGCACACCATGTCAGGGCAAGTGATGGGAGACCCACATCCTTCTCGGATTGCCAGCTGCATGTACTGTTTCAGACACTAGAAGGAAAAAAAAAAGACAGACAATTACCCACCACGTTACAGGAGCACCGAGGTTACATAACCACCTCTGCCTCTTCTTCCTTAATTGGCAGACTTGGGGCTCTGGTACTCAGGAAACATAAATTATCACAAGTGTGAACACTACGAGCCATCACTTCGGAAAGAATGCAGAGACAGGTGATTAATTAGGTATGACTTCATCCTAAGAATACTGAGTTTATTCGAGGCAGCAAGTCAAACTCCTGTATGTGCACACATTTTATCCACCATAGATTGGGAAAAGAAAAAACACTCTTTTGCACTAATGGCAAAAGGTTTCTTTTTCCCTTTTTTTTTTTTATCTTATGTGACTTCCCAGATCCATTTTTACCCAGCAGTTCTCTCCCTCAAAATTTACCCAAAGGTAGAACTCTGACTCTCGTGCTGAACTAGGCAAACAGAATCAAAATAAGATTAAAGCACTAACTAATCTAGAAAGACTCTTAATAGCAAAAACACCTGGAAAAGATAATGTCAAAGAATTTGAGAGGCTGAGATCTTTCCAGAACTATGGGCCTTGGGAGATGCCATGATGAGGAGGTTTGTGTAGAACCTGGGGAAAGGAAAAACTGGACAGGAAATAAGAAACCCAGAGAGAAGAGGCAGAACACCAAGGACAAACTTGGTCTACGCACTGCCTGCGCCAATGGGATCTTGGGCAGCAGCAGGACGTGTGAGTCGCGCTGAAAAGGCAGGAGAGAGACTGACAGCATTATGAAGACCTCTGACTTCTCCCTTCTCTCTTCCAAGCCACCCCCGCACCCCCACAGGAAATTGAAAGCCGTAGTTCCAGAAGATAAAACCCTTAAGAAGTCCAAAAGTTGGCTCCTCGGTTTCTGCTAATTTGCTCATAATTGGTGAGCTCTTTTCTATATGCATAAGGAAAAAGAGTCAAACTCAAATGTTTGAGGTGGACACCCCCCAAAATACATAAGCATCAATAAATTAATGACTCTTACAAAGGGATGACTAGTTATCATTTGGTTCCAATTTTCCCAAATTTATAACTTATGTATCAACCTGCTACATTAAAAACATTGCTGTTGCACCAACCTTTTATAAAAGCTGAACTATTAAATAAATTCTATGATCAGAATACTAACGACATAATTGTGAGGTCTGTTCCATTCACTGACCATCTTTATGCATTTTCCCCACCTAAAAATAAAACTATCACAATTGTATTATTTTGGAAAAATAATTGTATATTTATTTGATTGAAATTACTATTACAATGCACTAATGAAATAATGACTGGGGCAAACCATTTAAACCAGATTTTTCTCTCTTTAAGGACTTAAAAATTCCTTTCTCCAAAGAGTCGATTTTATATCACAGAAGAATCTAGAAGATAACCTAAATATCCAAATTAGAAAAACATGTAAATAAATTATGCTAATTCATGCACTAGAACGCTGAAGAATCAAAAAAAATATTTTCGAATAATGTTTAAAGACATGGGGAAATGCTTCTGATTAAGTATGAACTGGGGAATAAACAATGAATTGTATGAATTGGAGAATAAACAATATCTTAAGTCACTCAGTTCCTACAGCTGACCACACAGAGATATAGTATTTAAACTTTCACTTCCTTGCTCAAGAGAAGAGTCAACAATCACTTGCTCTAGAAGTTACTGTGCCAAACATGGTCTCTAGTACAAGAAAGAATGGTAAGTAGGAAAAGCAGCAGCAAGGAAACATGGGGAAGAACTTCAATGTCCAGGCAAAACTCAGGAGAAACTGCAAAGATGGTTCATGAAAACCAGTATCACACTGCGGGACAAATGAGTAAAGGATGTGCAGGTTTGTCCACCCTACTCTGCTCCTGATGACCTCTCAGCCTTCCATCTGCCATGCAGATCCCAGCCTTACTGCCTTGATCTCCTCCCACTGCCACTTGAAATTTAAGTAGAAAGAATGAAAATCGGTGGTCTCTAGGATCAAGGGGAAGATTATATGAGAAAAACAAAGTGAATGGTGTAATGAATGTCAGATCCTAATATCTGGGCTCTAGCCTCAGTGCCCCTTTATCCAGTGACGATGGGAAAATTACCTAAATGATGATCCAGACACGCTTCCCTTAATTTTTAAAACAGGGACAATAATTGTTTTGTATATGGTGTTAAAGAATGTTCTAATTTCAGTCTTTTACAGGTAGCTGTCCAATTTTCCGAGCATCACTTACTGAAGAGACTGTCATTTCTCCATTGTGTATTCTTGCCTCCTCTGTCATGGATTAATTGAGCATAAGTGTGTGGGTTTACTTCTGGACTTTCTATCCTGTTCCATTGATCTATCTGTCTGGTTTTTTTTGTACCAATATCATGCTGTTTTGATTACTGTTGCTTTGTAATATAGTCTGAAGCCAAGGAATGTGATTCCCCCGGCCCTGTTCTGCTTTTTCAAGAATAGTTTGGCTATTCAGGGTCTTTTGTAAAAAAGGGGTAATAATACTTGTTATGGTTACCTCACACAGTTTAAAACACTCACACACACAAACACAAACCTGAAATTTTGTACATGGAAGCCCTTTGGAAATTTGCAAACTGTGAAATATTTAGTCATATTTCTACTCCATCTCACCTGATCTTAGACTTTCAAAAACTTTGTGGAGAAATGTTCATCTGTTAGCCTCCTGAGATTATTCTATCTCCACTCCCTTCAGGAAACCAGTAAAACAGCACTTGTGGTGGAGAAGCTCCATGAACAGCGCAGATACCAATAACAGAACATCACACACACCTCCATTGAAGCCTCTCTGTAGAACCCTTGCATCTACAGAAAAGGCTTAGAGTTAAGTGGGAACTGAAGAGACTATGTGAGTCTTTACAGGCAAAAAAAAAACTCATTTCCTCTTAGACTGCAAATTTGTAAAGATGAAATCTAAGCTTTCCCATGAGTTTATAGTGGATGTTCTATTTGATAATGTAATGCTCATAGGTACACTGCAACCACAATACATAAACCCAATGAAATTTGAAGCTCCCCACAAAGACTCTGCTGGCCTGGCCACAATATTACGGAACTCATGATTTTAGGATAGAAGTTAAAGCTGAATACACTGAGTACAGGGCATAAGTATATATACCCTATGTGTCCCCCTTTTTTAATTCTAAGAAACACTGGTTCCAGATAGAGATTTGTAAGTGCAGGTTGTTAAGTGATGCTCTAGCACCGCACTTGACCCTCTGTAACCACGGGCACGCATTTCTATTCAAAGGCAAAGGGGGAAAACAATCAGTCCCAGTTACTGCCTCTTACTGAATTTTCAAGTGTATGTCTTCCACTAGCCTTCACTAATATTAAATCTCAAACCCTCTCTTCTTCAATATCTCTGGCTAAAGCACAAAAGAACCAAAAGCATTCGCATGAACACCTGTGCATGCTACACAAAACTGTTTTCATAACAGCTAACAGAATTCCAAGGGAAATGTTTCAAAAATAGTACTTTTCCAAAATCTTGAAGACCCAAGGGGGAAAAAAAGGAATTTTTTTTCTTTTACGTCATCAACATTTCACTTAGTTTGGTAGAACACAGAAACATCCTTAGGCCATTAAGGGTTGTGTATAATAATAAGGATGTTCCTCAAAATCATTCCGTAGCCCTCGAGGATGCAAATGGGATCTAACCAAGGATTTAACCATCAAACACCTGGTGAACCAGATGACTTGTCTCTTCCAACCCCGAGAGCTTATGAATCATGCACGATGGAATCTTCCAGAAAGGGGTGTCTTCTAGGCCCCTTTCAGGGATGTTGTTTTCTGGTGACCAAAGGGCATTCTTCATGAGGTGGACAAGGCCAAAGGGGCTACAACATTCAGACAAAGCTCCTACATACACACCCAAGAACTATATATATATACACACACATATACTACACAGTTACACATCTCTGTCACTAGATTACACCTTTCTTAAAGTTTTTTTCTGGGGAAAAAAAGCATTACAATGAACAGTCGATGGAACTGGATTCTAATATCAAGACTGAAGTACAAGTTCTCAAGTCTCCCCTGCATCTTGGGCAAGTCATTAACCTCTGGCCACAGCACTCACAATTAGAAAATGGGACCGTATCACCTGCTTAGTCTACTCTCAGGGAAACGCAGAGTCCTCCGTGAGGATAAATATGTGAAGATACTCTGAAAAGTGAAAGAGGTAGGCAAATGTGAAGAATAACTGGGAAATGGAATAGATGTCTCTGAACTCTAGGCAGGCATGCAGAAATGAAAGTCCCCACAGAGATTCAACCCCAAGAGATCAGTCTCATGAGAATGGGGAGGGGAGGCAGGAGGAGAATAGGTATTCTCAGGAGAAAAAGGTAGTGAGTGCCACTAACTGAAAGTTAAAGTTGATCCCCAGGATCTCGGATGCTTCTAGACGCAGGTGCTGGGGTTCTGAGGTCAGAGAAAGACCAGCAGCCCACATGTCTTGAAGCTGAGTTGGCGACCTACTAACCTAGGGTTTCTCATCCCTAGCTCAACCATGGGAGGGAAAGAAGGTGATGAGGGAGGAAGCATTTAAAACCAAAATCTAGACTGACCCTGAGTATCTGTTTTGCATTTTATCATTCCTGGTACAATGCTGTACACTAAAATGGACATTTAATAAAATGTAGACAAACACTTCTTGGCCTCAGTACACAGTTACATCACAATGTCTCAAGCGTGTTCTAAATAACATCTCATATTGAAGCCAATATCCTGTTTACTCCAGTTTAGACTATGATGCCTGCACATTACCTAAGAATAAAGCCTTTGTTGGATGCTGTTGAATTAAATTATTGGTACAACTCAAGATTGTATCTCTCCCAATTCAAAACCCTTTTAACACACCCAAAGCATCTGGGTTTGGAAATGTATAATGGTTCAAAGACATTCAAATAAATCAACAACCTATGCTGAGCAGTAAATTGTTTCCTGGTATGACATGATCCTAAAACTTCCTTCTTACAAAAT